GCGTTATTAATGTATTGCGTGTAAAAGGTATTCATAACGTTACTCTCAATGTAAACTTTGTAATGTACTGTCTGTGTAATTTTAACAGAAGGTAATGCTCTGATACGTTAAAATTTAGCCTAATTTTTTTTCAAACTTTTATTTAAGTTTTTATTTAAATTCCAAGAACTTTATTTATTTAAGTTTACTTTTATTTAATTCATACTTTTTATGTAAAACAGAACAAAAGGACAAAAAAAGCTATAAGATTAAAAAAGTAAAACTAAAACCTTGTGTTTGGCATCTTGGTTGTAGTTTTTTTTTTTTTTTTTTTTTTTTTTAATTTTACGTTTTTCTTTGATGTGTTTCTCATCTTTTTTGAAAAAGCTCTATGTTGCGCTAAATAGGAATTCTCTTTGATTCCTTTTCCCTGAACATTACCTGAAATTATAATTCCAAACAATATTTTCTACAAGCATTAACACCTTTCTGGCTTTAACAAGCAAATCTAAATACAAAAGAAAAAACTTAAATCTCTTAAAGAGTAGCTCTTGCGTTGCAGATTATTCTTTTACGATATACGAAACTTAAACCACTACCAGGTAAATAAAATTTCGCAGATTACAGCGGTTAACAACTGCCGTACTCCGCCTTCGAAAAAGACCTCGACATTGCGATACGATGTAATCTCTTTCCCGGTACGTTCGATAACAGCGTCCGATAACCGTACAGGGCTGGCAACTCGGGAATTAAACTCGGTAATTCAGTCGAACGTGGAGAGGGAGAGTTTCGTGTCTCTCCGATTATACTGTCTTCTGCACGCGCTCAAATCGTGACACCTCGTCAGCTATTTTAGATTATTATCGCTTGCTCTGTAGACACGGACGAACATCCTGGACGTCGTCTCCTTTGTTTTGGAGAAGGTGAGTTAGTTCCTTTGTTGTTATCTCTTCTTTCAAACTGACCTTAGTTAGGAAAAGAAGTCATCCTTCAATTTAACTCTTCTAACGAGTTGGTTTGATTCCTTTGCAATATCTGTGTATAGAGGTGGGATTAAAAAGTTTGCGGAGGGAAAGTTTAAAAAAATTTTAAATAATAAAAATATTTTAACATTCACTATATTATTAGGAAGATTTGTAAAAGCATTTCTGCAGTTATCTTTGATATTTTTTTTTTTTTTTTTAAATTTTCATTCTGTTGGGAAATGGTAAGAGATGTGTTTAATCAAATGTTTCCTGAAATATTTTGGTAAAACTTAGTGACAATACATCCGTAGTTTCGGGACGATTGTATTAGCATAGATGCAAACACTTACATCCCTTAGTGTAATCATCTGTCATATCTGCCAAATTCTGTCAAATTACTGAAAGGCATCGTTCACCATCAGCATGTGCATTTTCTGTTGATGCCCTGCAGTGACGTCCTGTAGCACGCGTAACCTCTTTTCTTCTATCGTAAGGAAACTTCTCAGTGGTCCTTCATTTTAGTGAAGAGATCACAGTCACACGGACCCTAATCGAGTGAATATCACAAGTGTTACAGTACGTCCCTGAACCATCGTTGTGTTGCCGTTACTTTTATCCGACCTTCATAGAAAAGAGTCTTGTAATCCTTATCTGCAGACGTAGTATGAACATAGAACTGGTGGGAAATTAAAAATGAAATCAGTCTTATGATTAACCACCATCTGAACATCTCGTTATTATATAAGCTAGTTTTTAAAGACAAAAGGTTATTTTTGGAGCTCTAAACATGAAAAATCAGATATGGTCTCTTTGGGTCTGCAAACACATAGTTACCATTTATACCTGAATATTCTACCAATTACACACCAAGAGCACTGAGGAATATGATATTTTTTTACATTCATCTCTAAGTAAAGGATGACTGGGATTGGAAGGATATCCAGTCGACAAAATCTGACGAATTAGCTCCCACCGTATTTTAATTAGGACATAGTTGTAAACACTTCTAGTTAGGTTAGGCTAGGTTATGTGAATATGGCAAAGCTATCTGCTTAAGAGAAGGAGGGATGCCTTTATGGAGGACTTTCCGACGGAAATCAGCTCATATTCACATTACACATGGGTAAAATCACGAAAACAAAACATGCAGCCAACCCGTTCTACTGGAATCGAACCAAACCAGCTCGAACTATCAGTATTCAGAGGGTTTTAACCACTCAGCCACTGGTTTGGATTGTGCCTTTTTAGAGCTCTTTAATCACGAAGTGTGATGAAGTAACTTTTTCCTCGCTGGGAGACGAAACACTGATCTTTCAGTTGTTAGTTGGACCTATTACCACTTACACCTTTAAAACACGCTCGGAGGGAATGTGGTAATTCTTTGTACGTTAGTTTCGGATATAAAATGAGTTGTCTAGAAGTAGATTTTGTGTTTCCAAGTTCATTTACTTTATCTGTAGAAATCCTGAATCTGAGTTTTCCAAATATTAATAATATATATGAAATGATGGTAGCGGCTATCTGTTATCATTGCATTATTGTTAATCATTGCTTTGTTTTACATTGGTACAGAAGTATAAACTCTTCGCCTACGTATGCAGGATGGTTAAATCGCTTGGGCCAGTTCGCGAAGGAATCATTTGGTATGGTGCACTGAATAAATTACAATAATTTGAAATTTATTTATGTAGATTTATTCGAGTAAAATATTCCAACGATATAAAAAGAAAGAACTCAATGAACGACCTTTCAGTTTAAGAAATAACAATAAAACTAATCGGATAAAAACACGTTCAAAGTTCTTATTAAAAAGAAATTTTATCTTTTGTGCTATGAGAAAATTCTTCCTTCGCCATGAGTGATAGAGGAAATAAATAAAAACTCCTTCCCTCCTTCCAGTAAGGCAGATACGCTGCATTCATTATCAGAAACCTTCACATGTCATGCATTGTTAATGAAACTGAAAACGGACTTGTGAAAGATAAGTCACTTATTGTTTCGAGATGTTAAAATGGTGGATGATGTGTAATTTTTAGAAGCGAAAATGAAAGTTGCATTGATTTTTACTAATGAGAACAAATGGTGAATTCTTAAAGTTGTAAATAAGCTCAAATACTATGATATAGGAGACAAAAGTGCAAAGGTAATTTAGTTTTTTTTATTACTTAAGATTGCTGTGATTAGATAGCATTAAAAACTTACGTAAAATTTAATGTATTCTGCTTTTTATAATTTGCAGAATTAATAAAGAAAAAATCTATTAATGACCAAAGAGTAAGGTGTTGAATGCATAAATATAGGATGATACGAAGACAATATACATATAAAGTTTATATATCAGTGACTTTGTAATTTGAACCAAAATTTTCAAAATAGAAAGAACTGCATGGAATTACGATATTAAAGTCGTTTTATTGCATATACTTTTATTTACAATCTTATCCCCATGATAATGCATAATCTGTAAGGGAATATAAAGTTTAATCATTCAGAATAGAGTAAGTTGGTTAAAAATTCGAAATTTTAGAAAGACACGTTTTAAAGAAGGACTAGCCTCAAAATATGATGGAGCTACAAAGAACAAAACTACAAAGAACTGTCTAGAGAAAAGCTACTGACTACGGATATTAGGGAAGCTCTTAAGAGCAATCTCTGTAAAAAGTAAAGTGGTAATGGTATAATGTAAGAAGATCTTTACCTTTCCTTGGAAAAGTCGAGAAAGTATCAAATTACAGCTATGACACGTTCAAGCATAGAAGCGGAGCAGAAGCATATTTTGTAAATGCACATTTGGTATCGCAACCGAGGGAGGAGCTTCTAGAATGGACCGAGTGTGCTTTCAGCAATATTTTTTTGTTGTGCCATATGACCTTTGGTGTTGAAAATACCCTCATAAAGCAAGATAGCTTGAAAACGTTTTACCACTCAATTTTCTCTATTAAATAATTATGCGTTGTAGATTTTTTTGAAATTCCCAACTCAATATTAAGATCAAATATAAGTAATTGTGAAGATTTCACTGCGTGTCTGAATTTGAAAGAAATGCATTTACATGCTGGACTCTAATGAAAACTGCAAAAGAAATGCGAATCCCAAAGAAACAGCTTTCAAAGGTACAACATCACAATAGCAGTAGTATGCCTATTAGTCTACACTCGAAACCTCTCCCTCAGTTGCAATACCGATGTGCGCTTGAAAGATTGCGTGGACCGGAAGTCATTATAACGGTGCATTACTGACAGAGACCGAAATGAAAATAAGTCTATTTTATACACACCCAATTTTTTCCAACAAGAAAATTTTACTAACTGTGGCCATCGTAACCATGCGACTCAGAACAAGAAGGGACAATCAAAGTTTTAAACCAAAAAATCTCTACAAAAATTACGCTGCAACAGAAACGAGATATGTACGCAGGAAGTTTTCAGAAGATTAGAAAATTAATACGCTCAGTGCTTTGAAGGATATATCGAGAAGAAATATTAGTTTTATTTTATTTATTGCGAGTGTTTATTTTATATATAATCTTACCCATTTATCGTCAAAAATAAATAGATTTCCTTTCATAGTGTGTGTTTCACAACTAACATGATCAGAAGTGCAAGGTAATTTTCAAATGTTAAATTGAAATTTTATAAATGAGAGTTACTTTCTTTCCCGAAACAGAACATTGCATACATATTTTTCACATAAAATAAACAACTTCATTCTTTGTTTCTTTTCGTTTTCGACTTTTAGATGTTATTGTATTTGAATATTTTTTCTTTAATAAAATGGAATAAGAATACAGCATAATATTCAAGATTAATGAATAATTTAGAACATATATTTATGCCTGTCACATATATCACAATTTATGTGAATTTTAATAATAAACTAATACCTGGGGAGTATGTATAAGTTATAAAAAGCTCTTAATTCTAATAATGTTTGTACAAGCATGCGTATCCATAGCTTTTATTTGATTTATTTGATAGTTATTAATGTGTTGGAAAACTCTAATCCATTGACTTATATGTGGCATTTTCTTTTGAACTGTAAATTTTTGTTTTTTAGGTGATTTTTAACATCTATAGACGGTAATCTTTGTGTGGTCCATTGCTGAAGGATGAGTCGTTTAAACGAGAGTGGGGGTGTCAGTGTGCCCCTCGAGGATTACTGGAAGGAATTCAACAGTTTCGACGACGCGGGTCAGCCGGATGAAGATGAAGAGGATTTCTCCAAGACCCCCGACGGTGAGACCCATTTTATACTTTCGGTGAAACAAACACTTAGTGTCTGAATTCAGATTTACTGCCGCAGGATATGGAACGGTCCAGATTGAAGCCCCCAGGTGGCGCTGTACCGGATGCTATTTTACTAATATATTCTATGGCGAAACGGCCGAAAGAAGCTTATGTTTTTTACTTGTCTTAGCTCATCGCAAAGTAAATGCACTTTTAGTAAGTTTTTAAAATTCACTTGCGGAATATCAATGTTTATTTTATTGGAATAGCACATGCACATTTCTAAGCTAAACCTCACTTAAAATTGTTGCTTTTTATAGTATAATGTGTTCTGGTAATCATCGCTCGGAAGCATATTGACGAAAGCAGTAGGATTTGAATTAAAAAGTATGGAAAGCTAAGAATAGATATCACCTTATTGGAAATGGCAAGTTAAAAAAAATACTGTTTCTGTTACGATAAAAGTAGCAGTTATCTTAGCAAGCCTTTTTACATAGATGATCTACTTGTTTACTTGTCGAATATAAGTAGCTATTGGAAAATTGCATGCAGCAACTATTTCGTACAAATATAAAATTCTCTCTTTGCGGTAGATAGCAAATTCATTTGGAATAAAACTTTTCTCATGATTGTATATGTGGCATGAGAAATATTTTTCATTATAATATTGATGGTATCATTGTTAATAATAAAAATAGACGCAATTTTTAAAATTATTAATTTTTCTACTTACATACTGTTAGAACTTTAAAAATAATCCGTATGTTTATTGCTACATATTTACCTCCTTTGGTCAACCCTGAGCAATGTTTTCAATGATAAGATGGCTGGAAGACGGCCATTTCTGAGGAACTGCTTTCGAGAAATTATACAGCCATAGAATTTAAAATCATACAACTTTTGGACCAACAAATATTTGGCAGCTGCTATTTCCAAAGAGACTAGAATTTCTGTAGGGAGGATCTTGTATTTTAATTTGATATTATTTGTTTATTTTGTGTATCTTTCTTTATTTGCATGTCTTTTACCTTTGAATGAATGATTGTCTTGGACTGATTTTGGTCTATGGTAATTTTACGAAATTTTCCTTAGTTTGCTATTAATTTGAACTTAGATGTATACAAGTAGGCATCCACTCATATTATAACCAGGGATCGCTCTTGAGGTTTCCTCATAAATGTAACTGATTCCTTCAATAAAAATGTAAAAAGAATTCTTTATATACTGCAGTTTTTGCAAGAAGATATATGTGATAAAAAGTTATGTATCAGATAGCCTTCATTTCATGGATATTGGCAAGCAAGGCTTAGTTCAAACTATGATGCTAATGGGATGCGTTCCGAAGCCAAGGCGTTGATTACTTTGGACAGTATCTGAAATAAAAATATTCCATGTTTGACCTTCTATTCCCTACACTTAGCCAACATACGATCTCGGTAGACATGCAGAGTCACAACAGCAAATCAAAATATTCACAAATTGTTAAATTACATATATTGCTTATAAACCCCTTAGTTTGTAATGCATCTACACTTACAATTTGAAAAATGATCTGAAGATCTTACGAACCATCGAATGATAACACCTTCAGAGCTGACTGCTGAAACTAAAAAGGCCTTTTCTTTAGTAAAGGCTGCCTTGCAAAACTCCGTACCATCGTGTACTTCAAAATCCATTTTAAAATGTTAGTCATGCAAATAGGTCTGGGACGGTCCAAATGGAAGTCTCTAGCTGATTATAGGTACCCTCTTCTTTAAAAACGACTCGCATTTTCTTTCATACTGCTTTTTGCAATTTCCTCTAAAGGTGCCTTGAAAAACAAATATACAAGCCCCAACGTGTTAGTTTTGCAAGGTTTTAAAAACTAAATAAAAACGGTGTTCATGAAAATAACCAAACACTAATAAATGGACAACTGGTTGACAAACTAAATCATCTGCAAACATTTATTTATAATGCTAATGAATTTATGATCTCAAATTATATGTAATATGACTCATACAATAAAGAATAATAATTTCTTAAAATTGATAACTTCTTAAAATTGATTTTATAAATAAAGTCACATATATTTCCAAAGCCAGTACAGAAGAACACAGTTTTGACGACTATAAAATATAAAATAAATAATAATAATAAACTTTATGCTTGTTTCTTATTATTTAAAACAATGTACCTAGTTCGACGTTTCCAGTTGCTCGCATATAATAGAGATTACACTCACACAGATTCCACGTTTCGATTGATTTTGTCTTCTGTGAAGGTGTCTCTTAAAGAGTAGGATTATCAGTGCTGTTGAATAATGTTTATTTATGTTCCGAGGCATATTGTCTACATTTAAATATGATCGTAATGAGAGTTTATACGTTGCATTTATAATTGAAATAAACGCTATGTTCATGCAGTTATTCCAATAAATGGAATCAATTTATTAATGATACAGATCTTATTGAAAGGTTTTTCTGATTAGGTAAAAAAATATGTTTCACTTATTTCAGTTGTTATATTCGCGAAGTTGTTTAATATTTCAGCTCTTTCATATCTTTCTAAATACAGATTTAATTCAATAACTTATTATCAAATAATTATTTTTCATCAAAATATGTCCTTCTATCCGGGAATTAAGCATTCGTCTGTGTGTTTAAATTACACAATATTTTCATAAGTGGATTCACTTAAAAACATTCCTCAAATGATTTATTTTTTGCCCATTTTCCATGTATGAAACACAGATGGACAGCTGTTTCAGAAGCAAGTCTCCTTATGGACTTCACCAGTACCCTAAAATATAGACATAGAAACGAAAGCCCAATAATTTAATTCTTTAATGAATTTTTGATTCCGTAAAAGCATCTTTATGATCGTATGGAGAGGTAGTGAAAACAATTCATGTAAACTACACTTATGAAATTCGGAAATCTACACACTAAGCCGGTCTTTTTCCGGGGCATATCATGTAGCCGGGCATTGTATTGAAATGCAGGACAATTGCGTACAGTCTGGGATTTCGTTGCGTTTAAATGTGAATAAAACGATTTAAATTACATCGTGTTATTTGAAACAGAATACGCATGCAAATAATTTACTATTACTTAGAGCCATTTACTTAGAAAGAAAAATGAATATAGTTCATATTCATCTTCTATTCTAAGCATAGAATTTGGCAATAATGAATTGATTCTCTAATTACTTTATACATTATTACTTTTCCATGGATACTGCACCCAAAGAAGAAAAAATATCTCGAATTTTGTTTTATATACATGACCTAAATGCTATCGAAATAGCATTTTCACCATTTTTTCTTTCAGTTGAAAAAGGAAAGATTAAACGATTGCCGAATATTATGGAAAAGGTACGAGAGTATAACGGGTAATTTATATGATAGTGGCCTCCTTTCTTTGTTTCATTTAAGTTTATGCTCACGAATATATGTTTTTATATAAACTATTCGGTGAAAGTCAGTACAGGGTACATTTCCTTGCCTATTAAATTTATTAAATATTATTGATCCTACGCATGTATTTCCATTTACGAATTTGTCCAAAGGGAAAGAGAATAGAAAAGAAGCTGGTAAATTTTATGAAAGCTTTTTCTGAGTTTAACATCTAAGGAATTAACGTGTTTCCCTCATGCTTGCTTTCGTACATTAAGTTTGCCAATTTGTAAGTCATCAGAATATTAGTCAGTATATCATTTTGTAAGTCATTAGCACATTCTGCTATCATGTAGAAGATTGGTTCGAATTCCGGCAAGGACACAATTGATTATTCACGTTTCTCACTACCGAAAATTTAAAAATCTCAACATATGACGTTTCTGCAAAGATAATATTTAATTTGATATATTTTTGTAAAGAATAAAATCCTTGTTAGTTAAATTTTTTCCTTTATGATTTGGTAAGTTGAATACAAAAGATTCTATACTTTCACATGAAAATTTGTTCGAGGTGTTACTGAAAAGTAGTTTCTAACTACAAAATTAAAAGCGAATGCTTTTTAGCTCAATATGCAACTTAATTGGCAAAAGGAACTGCTTTTGTAATTTTCCTAAATCTGATCGAAATGACTTGATAATTGACATTAAAAGTGATGTAATTCAATGAACGTATTCTTGATATAAACCAATAAACTCTCTAGCAATATTCACAAGTAAAAGGAAATAGAGAATTTTTCGTATTTATTGGTAATTGGATATTTATATGATTGGCTTTTTTAAACAAAATAGAGTGTTAAATGTCATATTTTCAAGATAATGCACTCTTATATTACTTTACATAATGCTGAGGGTGTTTATATAAATTTCTCTTCTTTATTTAAAAAATATTTTAAACAAATTTTCTTATAATTATTTTAATTAGAATAGTATTTAATTGTTGCAAACCATATTAGGGCTAACTGCCTAGGAGAAGAATGCTTCCGTGGAAGGCTTTGCAACTAAAATTGGTAATTATTCATGACAGGCGTGGGAAAACCACGAAAAATTTTGTTTGCGGTATTTTAACCTCAGCCAAATTATCAGTATTCAGTTATCTGACCTACTTGACCATTAATGGTCGTTCGTAACTTGAAGTAGTTTCTCGTCATTTTTTGTACACTTTGTGTAATACAATAATATCTATTCACGCTTAATTTTTATTATACCAATTTATAACTCAACTAATGTATGTAATTGATTTAAGAATAGAAGTAGACGTTTTTGTTTTTACATTTTAGCATGTATAATTTACATTATATTGAGAATAAAATTTAAATGAAATGTGTTATTGTTACTTATGCTCACTTGTCTGACGTAATCATCCCAAGTCCAAGAAATTCCTGTGGCAATGAGCGCTAGATTACGTCTGCCTTTGGCAACAGCCTTGAGCACCATTCAGGTGACGGTGCGATTTAGCTCAGTTCCGCCCCCAAGTTTGATGGACAGTACCCCAAGGGGGACGGGTCCCAGGGTCTCCCACCTCTCTCCCCTTTCACCAAACTACACGAGCGGACTTTCGGCTATATTTAGAGTGCCGCCATGCCGCACCGACACTATACATTTATAAACAACCATGCCTTCTCCGGGATTCGAGCCCGGGCCCTTCGGCACGGCAGTCAGCGACCTTGACCACTATACTGGTTGGGCAGCAAATGAAATATTCGAAAAATTAACTAGTCGTACCAAATTTTAACGACAGCCCTCTTGCGAAAAATAATTAAACAGCTAATTAAACAAGCGAAAAATATTATATCGTTCCGAACTGATGTTTGGTGTTTTTCTTTTAAATTTTGTATCGATTCCTTTCTTTTTTGGCTCAATGGTTTATCAGTCATCTCTGTCTCAATCTCAGCTAACTATGTTTCTATTTTATTGCTTTTAAATTTTGATTTTCTTTCGGTACATGGTTTGTGCTGAATGTTTTGTACACCCAAAGCAATAAATGCTTTAGGAATTTGAATGTAATTGTATCTGAAACAAAATAGAGTTCTTCTTTCGAATTCATGAAAATCAGATTATGCCTTGTAAAAAAAAAAAAAAAAAAAAAAAAAAAAAAAAATGCTTAAATTGTTTGTATGATTGTTGCATAATACTAAGTAATAACTTCGTGATAATTTTATAAACAATAACTGGTATAATAAATATTTCAAATTCAGCTGCCCAAGGTTTACATGAAGATTCTTGAAAAGCAAAATAAACAGCATTTAGATTATTCCACTTAAAACTAGTAATTTACTTGCGTCTATGCAAATAACATGCTTCAGAATGCTCATAAGTGATGTGATTTATGTGGTTATTCATGTATTTACTCAATATTTACATCTTTCAGAAGGAGAAGCCGAAGAAGAATGGTTGAGAGAAGCCGGTTTTGAAAACCTTGTCGATTCAGGTGAGTGATGTCATCAATCTATTTGCTGCTGTAACCTTCAACCAACAGAAATGGTAGCTAAAAAAACACTTCCAGAAATTATTAGCGGCGCTGGAATGGTTACTAATTATATATTTATCGATGCGCTTCAACACAGACAAGTTTGCCTAATGAGGAGCCTTGATGCTTTTTCGTTTTGTTACAGTTCACTGCTGCTTTATCTAATTACATTAGTAACTTTTCCCAATTAATTTGTGCGTGCAGAAGGGGAGAACGTTAGAAAAGCTTTTGAAGTATTGGCGTACATTCTCTGGCTATTAGTATTTTAATTAAGTGTGCTCTTTCACAATTCTGGTTTTTGTTTACTTGCTAGACTTCCTGGTCTTTGAAGCGAATCATAACTTAAAAGTTTGGAAAGGATGGAAAAGAATAATAATGTAAAACATATTTTGTTTCAACTTTCTACTAGAACCGTAACTCCTTAGCAGCGCAAATTTCCGAGATTGTTTCTGTGGATTTTGGGGAATTTTAGGAAGTTCTGCGACTATCAGATTAATTATTTTAGAATAATTAATAAGTTTATGAATTTCAGAATGCTTCTAATTTTTGTAACAACTATTAGATTATGATTCATTGTGCTTTACCGTATATTTCATTTTAACTGTCCATATATTTCCCCGCATAATTCGACTTATATGCGAATTAGAATGATTTACGAAAAATTTATTCGCGAAAACAATAGATATCATAGATGAAATAAGTAAAAGAATATTTGTATCTATTTATTCTTAAAGTATATTAACCAAATTTTTTAATACCGACATCTGACAGAGATTTTTCCAGAAATTCTCTGAAGTCTTTTCTTTAGGCATATCCGGATAATTATTGTATACTTAAACAACGTTATTATCTGTTTCCTAGATTATATCATTGGCACTTACGTATTATCCCGTCGGCCGTTGGCGGAAATTTCTGCAACGGTCGCTAGTCGCAGTCGTTATTGCGGACTTAGGAAGTGTTCATCCATAATTGGCGCTAAGTCACGCTACTTGACAACTTGACGGGCTAATACGTCCAGTACCATAACATGTTCAGTTCCGCCCGTAGATGTTTTCTGCAAAAGTGGTAACTAGTCTGCTAGTTTAAAACTATCAAAATTTGGAATCTTCTTTTCTTTTTTTTATCTTAAATTATACACAGTGTCCCAGTGTCCACAAAAGCCCTTTCGGGCTTTGGTCTCTCAGCCGATAGTCGTAGATACATATTTATAATTACAAAAGTGTTTCTTTCGAATACAAAAATGGAAACTTTTTTACTCTCCATGAAACAATTAAAAATGAAACTAAAGTAATAAAAATTCATGAAAATATCTATAACTTATTTTTACTTTTTGGAAATTTATGAATTACTTCGGAGAAAACTCTCTTGGCATATCAAATAAATAGAATCAAGTGACAAAATTTATAAATCAAAGACACTAATAAATCAAAAAACGATATCATTGAATGGCGTTTAAGGGGAAGATCAACCTCGAATTATTTTAATTTATTTATTAACCGACCTGTTAATGCAAATCAGAAATGCTGTCAAATATTACAGATTTTTAACTTAAGTATCTAGGTCAATTTTTGTCTCATTTCAGTAAAGCATTTTGTGTTTTATTTTGTATTAATTTTTCTTAATTAAGTATTCATATAAAATAATACTTATATTTAGGAAAATATACGGTTATCAGAGGAGCGTATAACAAGTTATATTTCAGAATTTTTACGAAACTGAATTTAAAAAAAAAATTAAAATGCAACAAAACGAATATTTGAGCCATTTCGAATATTTTTATAGGTTTTAATATATGTCTACGATCAACGGATGTAAAAAAAAAAAAAAAATATAGGCCAGGTAAGGATTTTCATGAACGCGGTGTATAGCAAAAATCGTAAACTCGTAAAAGCGAGACCGGTGCAGAAGAAGAAACACTTGTAACTGCTCAAGAATGGTAAGCATGACCGAGAATTAATAAAATACCTTTTCTTTTACCGCTATTTTTCGAAAGGAAGCTGAAGATAAACTGGCTTTTACTTTCGGTTTTTCTGACAGGTCGAGTTAAAGTAGACTGTGACTTATTTATTCATTTTATTTAGCGAGGCATATGAAGGAATATCCCTTTATGCGTTCTGTTCGATGAGTCACGACCGCATCCACTATACTTGTTTTCCTCATTCGAGATAAGGCTACGTTTGCTCATGAACATCAGAACTAATTATTACTTAAATATTTTGTAAATTCATTAACAATGAGTTTTAGATAATTTAATGAGAAAAGTCAGGTAACGAAGAAAATAGTTAGGATCATCATGGAAGTGAAAAATGTAATTCTTGAAAGGTAAGAAGATGATATGCGTATCTGAGATTTGGCTGTTACCTAGCGTATGCCAAGTACGATGATATCTACGCTTGTAAGAAACAAAGACGCTATTGAATCCGCTAACATTTGGAACAGATTCAAATGGATTACCACACAGAGCTGTTAGAGTATGTTGCAAAATTGCGTTTGATCTGGGTAGCACAAAAACATTTATGTGCAGAATCATGTTTCACCGATGCATTTGCATTTTAGTGCTCAATGGTGTTGTAATAGTAACAATAAAATACTTTTCTAAGAAAAATACTTTCGCTTTATTTCTTATTAGAGAAGTTGTTTGGAATACGTCTAATGATTTGGAATGGATTAATGACGTATACCGAGGTATGGCGATTTTTAATTTATCTTATTTGCGAGATTTTAATTTTACTTTTTGCTGAATTTCTGCAGTAAAATCTTACTTCTGGTATATATTCGAAGTTATAACTGCTTTTCTATGTCCGAAGATAACGACATGAGTTTCTATTATGTAATGAATATAAAAAATTATTTCTCAGCGTTAGAGTTTTAAAATAAGGAAAATAGTGATTTTTTGAGCTGGAGAAAGAGGCTGTATATAATTTTCTGACTTAACCCTTTGGAAGTTGCAAGATTAAGCAATTCTTTTTTTTCCAAATAAGCGCGATGTCTGTCATTCGTAAACTTTTGATGCTAGCTGTGCTCGTTTGCGCCCACTAGAATGCGTAACTGGAGTGTAAGCTGAACTCATTGATGACCATCAAAAGGTTAAGGAAAACACATTGAGGACAATAGCTACATGGATAAAAGAAATTATGTGTGTACATATAACACTTTCAAAAGCTATTTGCTCGTATAAATTTCTTTAATAATAACGCCAGATGAAGAGGAAGTAATTGGAAATTTATTGCGTTAAATAGCAACTCATACAACGATATAAATTGTTATAAATATTTAAAGGAGAAAAACCGAAGATGGGATGAAATGGCGTATAACTGTATAAGCAGAGGTGGACGCCACCACTTATAACCACACGCCAAAAAGGGCTTTTTTAGTGCATCATGCGGGCAGGCCGTGGCGATTTTTTGCGATATCTCTATTGTTTGAAGGAAGCGATGGGAGCTGGAAAGGTAAAACACCCCTCTTCAGTAAAAATTACAACACAATTAATAATAAAATTAACAAATACGCCAAAAATGGGATCTTTCCTTTTGATCAAATGATTGACATGTGTACGTTTTCGTTTTCGAATAAAAATTTAGGAATGAAATGTTCTTTCCATAAGCTTTCTTTTCTGATCAATCTTTTTATCTGAACGATATTAATATTTCACTGCTTAATTTCTGAGTTAAAGCTCCTAGAAAGGTAGGACTATAGTCTTTGGCGAATGCACATGCTTTCAAGCTTCTAATATTCTCAGCTTAGGTTGACCTCTGGTATAGTTATACATACGCTTTCCCATCTTGCTGTAGATGCATATAGTTGCAGAGCAAAGCCTAAAAGAATATTCAATGACAATGATCCACTTATGTCGCTGCCCTCTGAGTTGAATAAATGAACTAAATAACTGTAATCTCCAGTACATTCATATTTGTAGAATTGTTTAAGAAGAGCATAAGCATTTCTGGAAGATTCGAGAAAATCCTTGGGGAAAAAAGCATCGTGATCTTAGAGGTTTAAAAATGTGCTTTTTGAAAACTTAAAAAATCAGTGGCTTTAACTGAGCTATCGTTACAATTTAAATTTTCAGTAGATTTAGAATCAGAAGAGTTTTTACAACATAATGCATGGAATACCATAAATGACTATAAATTCCTCTAAATATAAAAAAACAGTGCAATTATGAATGAAATAGAGTATTGAAATACATTGCCTGTTCAAAGTTTTTTATTGATGCTGAAAATAAGTATAAGTAATTTTTAGTGTCACTGATGTAATATATACTTTTACAAGACACAAGTTTATTTAATTAAAAATATATTAACAGAATGTAGCTTTGCAATACCAGTTTGGGTAAAGACGACACATCGGGCTGATTTGACTTTTACCAGCTGCGGCGTTTTACATCGTAGTTAAGATACCAGTGAAATATTTGTTATATTTACCTTTACATCTTTTCTGGGGAGTTCGCTTATTATTATCAGCTAGAACGAAAAGTTTGAATGCAGGATATGAGTAATTAAACTTTCAAATTCTTCTTAATGATTGATTAAATACCATTTACACTTTGATCGTGAATTTTCGGAAATGTGCCCATTGCAAAATATGTCTTTTCACTTGAAAAGACTGAATCATCTGTGACATATTTTTTCCTAGCTGTGTAATATTTACTCATTTTTCAGCCATTCACATTATCTTGCTTTTGCGATGCAGTGATAAGTTGCGTACATGGTAAACATAACGTGATGGTGATTATGAAGAATGCGTAATCTCGAATTATGGCACTCTTTTCTTTTTCCTAGAACTCACTGAGCAGGATGAAGCCGAATTTTATGAGGACATTCTAGCCACTTTGACTGCTCGTCAGATAGCCGTGGTTAAGAAGAGGCTGGACACCGTCCAGATGTCCAAGAAGAGACGGGTACCTCGCAGCCGTCATAGAGCGGACGTGAGAGAGCTCTTCAATCGAGCTTCTATGTCACCACCTGAGGTGAGTTGCTTTGGTGTATTTAAATTTTTACAACTTATGTCAAAATCATATCTGATATTTTATGACAAAATACAGAGTAACAAACCAGGAAAAATCATACGGTTTGAGTATATAGGATGATTTCTTGAAGTCGCCCCTACATTTGTTACCGTTTTTTTGCATATAGAGAATTCGTATCAATGTATAGCAATCGATAAATGTGATTTTTAACTGTCTGCTGTGCCAACAGTTACTGATAAAGACTCCTTAAAAAATTCATTTGTACATCTAACTCTGCATACACCATGTTCACAAAAGTTCTTACTCGGCCTTTATTTTCGCAACCATTGGAACTGTTTTAATGTTTTCTTTTCTGCGGGAAAAGCTAGCTGCAAAGATTTAGAGCAGAGGTTCTACAGTAGGGAAATTCCCCTAAGGGGTATTTCAAAGTTTTATGGGGTTTGTAGTCAACTTGTTAGTTAGCTGGTTAGTATTTAGTTTTAATTTATGAATATAGAAAAGCTACTTGATATTAATCAGCTCTTTCTATACTTTTTGCTATTTAGTTAGTGAAACACATTAAAAATAATCTAATTCTAAATAAATATGTATGTATTTTTCGAGTTTCGGAAAGGAGGGGAATGAGCTGACAGTGGTGAAAGGTGTCCATGGCGCAAAAAAGGTTGAGAACCCCTGGTTTAGATTGTTTGCTTTTCAGGTAAAACTTAAATACCAGCTACTTTCTTTTATAAATTCATGAAAATATTTGCCGAGTGCTTTGCTATAATTAAATAAAAATGTTACTTATTTTCTGAATTCATTCTTCTGTAAATACTACGAAGATGTATTGACTGTAATTGTATTGTAACTTTCAATATCCTAATTTCTGAAAGAAACCAATTCGTCAAAATGTAAAAGCTACTTTTTTTTTCTTTTTTCTTTTTTTTTTTTTTTATAAACCAAGTAAATCTGGTTAATCCGAACTAAACCCATGACTGATGGACAATTAAAATCATATTTGATATGTTGGATGCGTGTCAAACGTTTAGGATGTCAAAGGATCGAGAGAAGTTCATCCTGATGAATGGCAAGTGGTATCATTATTTCAGGATGCTTAGATTTACTTATTCATAAGTAAGCTATATTTGCGAAGAAGGATGTAGCTTTTTCTTTAAGGAAATATTTGTTTTTTGGTAGATCAAATTGTTCAAGAAGTTGTTGAATTTTGTTTCATCTCTGAAAGATCAACTTCTGTCAGATTATAGATTTTACTATTTTAGATACTGGGGTAAAAAGATTTTTCTTTTTTGGATATGCAATTCGTTGATAATTTTGAGTTCTAAAGAGTAGTGAATTCAAGTAATAATTATTATTACTTGCAGGTTCGTTTGCCGAATGTTTGCAATTTAGGTACATTTTGAATATTTTGCACCGCTGCTACCTCACATTTGGTTTCTCTACTATCTGATTGCTTCTTTGACCTATGGCAGTTCACGTTTAAGCCCAGCGTCTTGGTATAAAGTATTATTGCATTTCGTATGTGCTCTCGTGTTCAAGCAATTATCATATACACTTGGCAAGCTTGAATATCAGTGGCTCGATTTCCGGCGAAGGTAAAGTTGATTTTTCATATTTCTCCCTACAAAGATGTTAGTTTCCATAGCAAAGTCCGAACAAAAATGGAGTGGACGATAATACATCGCTATCTAGAATTTTATCGATTGGCCTCAACCCATTGCCTTTTCAGTCTGTAATGCATTCTCCTACGCATGTTATCGGGGTGTACATAGCTAGCATGTCCAGCTAGCAATTGGAAGATTCGCTCTTCGAATTCTGACAACAGCGCAGTTTGATTTTTCACAGTTTTATCTGCCCTCAAGGCTAAATAGTCTCTCAAATGGTGTCACGATCACAAGTTTCAAGGAGAATATATTTTAAGAACATTTACATGTCGAAGACAGAAAGCTGAGAAACTTCCACAAAGCCCAGATTTAATGGTACTATCATGATATTTAAAACAGTAATTTATGAAGAGATGATTAATAGCATTAACTAGACGGAAGAAAGAATCCATCACTTCGTCATTAGACTGATCTTCATTCATCTAAAATAAGTAAAATGGAGGAAACGTTGGATATATCTGTATATCATTACGTATGCGGTATTATACCATAAATTTGTGAAAGAGATTAATAATTGTCGCTCCAAATTGCTAAAGAATGGTTAGGTATATGCGAATGAGTCACATCCGGCTGATTATATCTATTCTACACAGTCATCCCACATAGCTGATACTATCACCAGCCGATAATCACTAAAATACCGCCACCAGTGAAAACATACTCATATGGTTCCTATTGGGAGGGTTCCAAATTCTAGATAGTTAGCGTGCTCGGACAATGCCTATTCGATGCAGTACAATAATATGTCTAATATCAATACACAACTGGCGAATCCTTTTGAAGTTCCACCATAGGAAAACTGGAAAATTCAACTTCTTGAAACATTCCAACATTGCGATAAATCTAACGCTAGTGATATCTATTACAGACAGATCTTTGCGGATATACAGATAGATCAAAATCCAGAGATCATGTTGATGCAGCTTTTGTATTGGAAAACTCAATTTTTTGGTTTCGATTGCACCCAGCTTTCTCGGTTTTCACTGTTAAATTTACTGCTTCTTATTAGGCTTTAAATTTCTTCTCCTGAATCCCTGGCTGCGCTGACATAAAAGGGAATGAACTAGCAGATATTTCAGATAAGCCTGCTACTACAGTGTCCAACTTTCATGTCCTACTCGCAGATATCAGGGCTCTGATGAAACACAAAATTCTCAATAAATGGCAGATGCATCTGGATGATAAAGCAAATAATAAGCTGAGAAGTGTTAAACCAATTGTAGAGTATTGGTCGTCTTTCATAAATTTGTGCCGTGTTCTAAATAGAGAGGAAGAAGTATTCTTAACTCGTCTAAGAATCGATCACTGTCAAATGACTCATGAGCATCTTCTGAAAGGCAACGGATATCCCCTTTGTGTAAACTGCAATGGAATTTTGAGAATTCACCATATTTTACTGATTTGACAATCTTTTGAATATTTTCGCCTAAAGCATCCCAATGTTTTCAATCTGGATTTAGGGAACTTAATAAGAAGACAACCTCATTATAAATCGTTCCAGTTTTTAAAAGATACTGAGTTTTACCATAAATTACAATTAGGTTTTACTCTTAGTTTTACCAAGCCTAAACTGTACTGTAGAATGCAAGCAGTATTCTACACACATGCAATATGTAGTAACAGACATATAGTCCTTGGTTATACACATGTAATAGTATGTAGTTACACACGTCTAGTACACATGCAATATTTTATAAAATTCATTTTGTGTTGATTGCAGTGGTAATTGCTTTATTTTTAATTAGTTTCTATTTTACATGTTACCTTCTAGAATATAGATTATCCTACCATTTTGTTCTTGATTCTCCATTACTTTTTGGGTAGCTGAATTTCTGGAATTATCGATTTAACTGTTTCGTTTCAACTATTGTTTTGAAGAAGATAGCCTTATAAGCTGTTTTCTCGCTACTTACAGCATGCCTTTATGGTATAATGGTAGCATACTCGGCGTGTATTTGTGAGGTCCAAGTTTGAGTCCCGGCGAGGGCATTGCACATTTTCCACCTCTCATGGTTCAAAAAAGCTTATGACACTACAGTAGAATCCGAACTGAAAGGGGGTGGACAATAATTCATCACGATCAAGATTTGACGATTGGATCCCCTCATCCTCTGTCGCCCTTTAAAAGGGGGAGTATATAAAGTATTTTTTGTCTCGTTCCAGCATGCCTTTGTGGTGTAATGGTAGCACACTCGGCGCATATTCGAGAGGTCTGGGTTCGAGTCCTAGCTAGGGCATTGCTTTTTTTCATCTATTCTGCTTCAAAATAACCTAATGATTCCGCAACCTCATATGGTTTAGCGCCAAAAATTGGAATAACTGCAAACTGAATATCCAGTTATATGTGCTAATATTCGAACCCAAAGAGCACACAGGATGTCTTATTTCCTTACCCTTTCCATCCTAAAGAGTAACAAGAGTAAGAAAAGACACGTTGAGCTAACTAAGTTTATTGCCGTATTACTGCATCCCTCTGTTATAGTTAGAGCGCCTAGTGTAAAGACCAGATGTTAGAACCGGATTAATACTTTTAGAGGCTTGAGCCTCTAAAAGCACCTAAATGACTTAGGAACATTTATACTAGTTTATCCCGCACCACGTACATTAATACCATATCGCCTCCCCCCCCCATTTCTTCACTCTTAGTCTTGTTAAGATGCGCATACATTTCATTGTAAATCCGGCGATGGGTAATTTTGGGATGTCTCGTTTCGTTCAGATCCTAAGCACCTTTTTTTGGTGCCCCCTTTACTTGATGTCTCAAGCACGAGTGTAATTTTCTGAATTGTTAATACAATTCTACCAATAATCCAAATAAATTAACGGTTGTGGTTCAACGGTTAACACTCTAAGCCAGTTATCTGGAATTAAGTAAAAGGTCTTCGAATAGTTGGTTTAGTGTGTCAACCGTTTCACAATTAGATTACTTATGAAGACAGCCTTACTTCTCTGCATTCCCTTTTTTACCTTTCAGGTGACAATGCGATCGGAAAAGACATTCGATCTGCCATTAAGATTTGCCGAAGAGTTACCATTAACCTATTTGTAGTTTACAGCCAGATGGTATAAAGACTGTGATGAGTTCAGGACTGAGAAATATTTGGAAATGTACCGGAATCAAACGTCGGATCTTTAAATAATTCGCGCAGTATGCTAACCTATAAGCAATTGCACATGATAGAAGTGGCTTAACGCCTTAAAATCAATACAATTGTGAAGAAGATTTTGTAACTGTTATATTATCGTAAAAACTGTGGACATATCAAATTTTTTAACTGACCTGTTTAACCGAAGTGTTAAGTTGATGCTAACCGAGGTAACATCATATTATCAGGTTAT